CGGGCCACGAAGCGCCTTGCATCCCAGCGCTCGAAGCAGCAGGCTTTTGCGGGCGGCATGGATGGAATGTTTGTCGGATTTGCGTCCCCGCGCGCGCGCGCCTTGTTCGATTCTTACGTTTTAGTTTTGGTGCTCGGTTTGGGGGGATTGGAACACGTCTAGGGATTGGCCTCACCCATTTGTCCGCGCCCATTTCGGGTGTTTGAAGAACGAGAGGGAGGGAGGGGAGGAGCGGTTGTCGGGGATGTGTGCCATGCGTGCATGGGACGTTTGGGTCCTCCTCCCAAGTCGTGGGGTAGTTCTTCCCTCCTCATACATTGGTCCCCACAGATCTCACCTTTCACTTCGAGGAGCGCCCCCTTTGAAAGGCGAGAGCCCGATGGGCCGACCATTCTGGCGAGATCTCAGTTTTGAAAAGGTTTTGGTTTTCATGTGCTCGAACGAGCTGTATGAGCGCGAACAAGTAGGACGGTCAAGTTGAACCCTGAGTTCTGCAAGAGCCCCTCTTTGAAAAGGAGCCCCCCCCCGCTAGCCGTGTATCATTTGTGTTGATGATCTCGGGAGCGAGAGCACTTTTCGAACATGGACCGTTTTCCGTCCATGCATGTAGTATGTATATGCTGGTATACATATGCAGGCATGCATGTGTGTATGCATGTGTGTAAGTATGTAGGCAAGCAAGTATGTATGTATGTACGTATGTATGCGCACGGATGTATGTGTGCATGGTTGTATGTACGTATGGAGTCGTGTATGTGTATGTGTATGCATGCATGTATGTACATGTTTATATATGTGTGTATGCATGTACACAAGTAGTCATGATTGCATGCATTATGCACGTATGTGTGCATTCGTGTATGTGTGCACATATGTATATGTGTACGTATGTATGTATGCATGCATGCATACATGCATACATGTGTGCATGTGTGTTTGCATGTATGTATATATACACAGATGTGTACATGCATGCATGCATGCATGTATATATATGTATGCATGCGTGTATGTATAAGTGTAAACATGTATGTGCGTATGTAGGGAGGTACGTGTGTAGGTATGTATGTTCGTATGTATGTATGCACGTATGTCTGTACGCATGCATATATACATGTGTGTATGTATACATGTATGTATGTGCGCATTATGTGTGTGCATTTACGCATGCACCTATGTATGTAGGTAGACAGACATGCATGCTGGTATGTAGGTCGGTTGGCAGGCCGGTAGGTAGGCCTGCATGCATGCATGCATGTGTGTGTACGTGTATGCATATATGCATGTGCATGCATGCATGCGTGTATGTAGGTCGGTAGCTAGGTAGGCAGGTAGGTAGGTAGGTCGGTAGCGATGTATGGATGGACGTATGGATGTGTGGACGGATGGATGGGCGTCTTTGGGCCTCGTTGGGGCCTTCTGAGGGCCTCTTCGGAAGGAAGGCGCACATTTTCGGTTCGTGGCTCCCCTCTTGGGCCCTTCTTGGGGCTGTCCTTGGGCCGTGCTGTGGCCACCCGCCCTCATGGTGGCCTCTCGGCGTGTTCCTGGAGGCCTCGTTGCCCGTCTTGGAGCGTCGGGAGCTCGACAAGTCGAGAGCCCCGAAAGCATGGACCACCCAATGGGGAATCAATGATGATGCCCTCTCGGGGCCCTCTTGGGCAGGCTTTCGGGGCTCTCTTAGGGCGTGTCGGAGGCCACTTGGGCCGCCTCGGGGCCATCTTGGGCGTCTTGGTACGATCTTTGAGCGTCTCGGGGCCCGCTTGGACCGTCTTGGGGACCTCTTGGGTCCCTCTTGGCCCGTGTTTGGGCACAGGGGGACCGCGGCAAACCCGCGGAGAATTGAGAATTTGGGCTTTGGGCCCCTCAAGACCCAGGAGTGAGGATTGATGCTTCAGGGATTGTGGAAAGGACCCCAGGACACGCCCACTCCGTGCCCAACGACACGGTGGCGGATACGCATGTATTTCGAAAGCGAGCCCTATTTGAAACGAAACCGTGTCCATCCATGCGTATAGTATGTAATTGTATATATATATATAGTCATGTATATATGTATACATGTGTGCATGTCACCTCTGGCCGTAACGTTTGAGGATGTCTCGGGCGAGAGCCACACTTCAAATAATTATCTGGATCCACCCTGTGGGGAACATTCTCTGGATTGGAAATACCTTCCACCTCTGCTACTGCTAGAACTGTTCAAACCAAATGCGTGCTGCGTTAAACGGCGACAGCCACAGCCTGAAAAGAGCCACCCTCCATCCTTGTAGCTGTTGCAAAGTTTCAAGACGAACGTGTGCGGTGCCGAGGCCAAAACCAGATGGTGCAAACGATCACACCTACATTCTTGCTACTTGTACAAGCTTGACAGACGAATGTGCACGGCGCTGGAGCGAGAACACAATTTTTGGCCGCCCCCATGTTAATATGTGTTGCGACCGTTGAAGCGAGTGCTCGCGGCGCCAAGATGAGATCACCAGTTTTGAAACGACCCTTTCCACACCTGTCACTGTACAAGGTTGAAGACGAACGAGTATGTTGCTGAGGCGAGAGCCCCATGTTGAAATGACCCTCCTCCATCCTTCTAGCAGATGCAATTGTCAAGCTTCAGGATCACAATTCGTCGGGAAGCCCCAGGCGAAACGCCGGGCCAGCGCCAGCCCTACCGACACGTCTGTGGTACGACAGGGAGGAAGCATCTATGAGTGAGCGGGATACGGGGCTGGCGTTTCATCTGTGTTGGAGGGTCTCGCTCGGGCGTCCTCGCCTTCTACGGCTGGGACCGCCCCGATGCCTGCTTCAGACTGGACGTTCCCCAGGGCGGGTCCACACCTTGGAAAAGTTGGCCGCCTCCATGTTGAAGCATGTCTGCAATTGGAGCTCTGGTCCACTGTGAGGAGACATTTATAGTCAAAATTCGTCATGAGGATTGGCGCAGGAAGCAGGAAGGCCCTTGCACCTTTCGGTTCTGGGCTTCCGTGGCATACTGGGCATCCTCGTCCATGGTGCCCCTGGCATCCCCTGGCGTGTTCCAGGCACCTTGCAGCATCAGCCTCCCCTTCATGACAGATTTCTGCTGTGAGCACTCGCTGCCGTCGCCCGCGGCCTCCGGAGGCGCCTGGGCCGCATGGAGGGTGTAAGAAACCCTCCTTGGCTTCGGCCAGGAAAAGGGGGGACTGCCCAGACGCAACCAGGACGGGGACAGACTCGGACTGGGACGAACCCTGAGACTTGGGCGTTTTTTGGCTTGGAGTCGGGCCCCAGGACACCTTCGCAGAGCGGTCCGGCTCGAAGCAGCGCGTCGACAGGTCCTGGCCGTAATTTTTCGCCATGCTGCAATATTTTTGGCATCGCCGGATGGCGGAACACCTGGAGAAAGTTCTCCCCCCACCGACGGAGAAGTCACGCGCGGAGGACTCGACCCCTCGACCTGCAGAAGGTGCCGCCGCGATGCGGAGGAGGAGGAGGAGGAGAAGGATGAGGAGGGAGGAGAGGGAGGAGGGAGGAGGGAGGAGAGAGGATGGTTGGAGGGGGAGGACGGAGGACGGAGGGAGGAGGGTGGAGGGAGGAGTGAGGAGGGAGAAGGGAGGAGGGAGGAGGGAGCAGGGAGCAGGGAGCAGGGAGCAGGGAGCAGGGAGGAGGAGGAGGATCTCTGAGATCCGCCGCGTTCCTGGAGAAGATGCCAGGCGTCGCGGCCGTCCCAGAGCGCTCCAGGGCTGTCGAGGAGCACTCCGGCACGCCCTTGGGCGACTTCTCTGCACGTGCCCTGAGATCCAACGTCGCGGAACAAGACAAGCTGCAACATCGCGAAGCATCATGACCAGAGTTCCAGACCTCATCTTCCTGCCGTTGTTGTTCGAGCTGGATCGCTCTGTGATGGTCTCGGGGCCCGAAGCTGGGCGGAAACGCTTCGTGAGGACAAACAGATCAGCGCCCGGATCTGACAGTGCACCGTGCCAGGGCCCACAGGTGCGGTGGTGGTGCCCTTAGTCCGAGTCGGGGCTTTCTCCGTGGCCACCGCCCGGGGGATCGCTCCTCTTCGGGGACCGCGGCAGTCCGTGGAGGTGGATACACGCCGGTCGTTAAAAGGAGGTATTTCTGGATTCCCAGATCCCGATCTACTGCAAGCGCCTTCCTACTTCCAAAATCGCTGTGTTTTTGCTGTGTTATGTTGCTATCTGGGAGGGCCTGAACCCCCCAATCTACTTGATCCGCCGTCCTACATCATGTTTATCCCTACTTCCTTCGACCGACGTGTACGTTTGGGCCCCATGGGGCCCAAAGGGTGTCCATGTCCACCAACCCCTGGGGTCCCAAGGCATCGGTTCCCCAGGCGGTGGATATGGATAAATGATAAATCCCAGAGTCGCAGTGGGGGGCCCTGTGAGGAAGATCCTGGAGGCCTCGCGCGGCGCGCAAGAATTGTATTATCTAAGTAGTCTACACGTCCGCTCCGTAAGATCAGGGTCGCCGTTCTCGCGGCGCTGCTCCGACATAGTCCGACGTGACTCCGTTGTAAAGTCAAGGTGACCTGTCGGGAACCCGACTTAATTCCGACGAGGATCCGAGTTAAATGGGGTCTCAAGTGGCAGCGCGAGGCCCTCAGGATGTTCCTCATCACGATTCCCCAGGCGGTGGATATGGGGGCGCCCTTGGAGCGGCCCCGAAGTGCACTGGGAGCCAGCGCTCTGGGATCACCCCAAAGCCTTGAGAAGCTCTGGCAACGCCCTACAGTGGAGACCCATGCCACGAAACACCCTGCTTGCCTTCAGTGTGCCCTGGGTTTCTTGGGCTTCCATGGTTTTGCTGTAGAGAGCATGACGTCCCCACGCCACAATTCCATGGACGTCCTTGGGCCTCAGGGTTGGGCTTCTTGTGGAAGGTTTCTTGTGGTCGGGCCTCCTCTGTAAGGGGCGCCTTGAGCAGCTCTGGGAGCCCCTCTCGCTCCGGGGGCGCCCTGGGGGCGCCCTCGGCGCCGCGGCGGCCGCAGCGGCCGGCAGGCGACCTGGCCGACCCCGTGCCCGTGGACCTCGGCGCGGAGCGCCTGGCTGCCGCGGGGGGCTCGGCGTCGCCATCGTCGGAGGCCTAGCCCCCTACAGGGGGATTTTCGGCGAAAAATTAAAAACAATTCAAAACATATTCCAAAATTGACAGAAAATGATTACAACATAGTCCCCGGACTATTTTTGGATTATTTTTCTACTATTTCGGGTGCATTTTTTATTTTTCGTCGAAAATCCCCCTGTAGGGGGACAGGCCCGACTTAACGCTACAGCTGCGGATTGGCCTTGCTGGCCAAAACCAATGTTGGCGGTGTACCTTCACCGAGGGAATTTGATGCCGATCTCGGTGATGGTGGTCCTATTCGTGCTTCTTCCTAGATGGCCGAACTATTACCACAGCCCGAGTCCAGTGTGGTCTTCCCCCAGTGGAGGCACCCCTCTGTGCTGGTGTTGGTGCCCATTCCTAAGCCTCCAACATCGGCGCCGCCGTCGTCGCCGACCGCACGGCCATCGCCGCCGTCGTCGACGACGTCGTCCCCAGATCTGTTTTTTTTCAATCCGGGCGACTGTCCTCGATTGATGTCAAGGCCCTGTGGCCGGTGCCGCCGACCCACGACGACGACGACCTCGGCAACGATCTGGGCGAATTTCTTGGATTTCGACCCCCTGGGCCCGCTATACGGCCTCCGGACCATTTGGGACCATCAGAAATGGATCCTGGGCGCAACCCTACCTCTGGGAAAGGGGTCGGGACCTCTGGGGTCGTGGACTGAACAAAATGAAATCGGTTGGTTTCAGGATCGTCGACGCCGTCGTTGCCGTCGCCTTTCGTCCACGGCGTGGCCGTCGTCGTCATCGTCGACGCGGTTGGCGTCGCTGGCGTCGCTGTCGCTTCGGCGTCGTCGCCGCCGCCGCCGCCGTCGTCGTCGTCGTCGTCGTCGTCGCCGTCGTCGTCGTCGTCGTCGTCGTCGTCGTCGTCGTCGTCGTCGTTCCCTTCGTCACCGTCTGCGTCGGTGCCGTCGGCGTCGCAGTTGTCGTGGTTATGTTGTGGCCGCATTCGTCGTCGTCGTGCATCGTTGTTGGTGGTCGAAGTCACCGTAATTTGGCGTCGTCGTGGTCGCGGTTCGTTCGTGGTCGCAGTCGCCACTTTTGTGTCCCAACCCCATCGACAGCGCCGTCTCGAGAAGGGGGCTTTGCCGCTTCGTCTCGAGAAGGGGTGTTCTACCACCTCAGCACCGTGGCAGAGGTCCGCGGGGTTGTCTCGGAGGGGGGAATGGGGAAAGGGAGGGTGGAAGGCACAGAGGCGGACGGGGATAGAGGGGGGTGCGGGGGATGGAGGAGGGAGTTGGAATTGGAAAAGTGGAGAGATGAGAGACGATTGTTAAGCGGAGTCGCGTCGGAGGATGCTGTATGCAGGTAGGCAGGTAATCAGTCGGGGGCGCGTGCTTCCCCTGAGCATTTGAACCTACACTCGCGGGCCCCTCCATGCTGTATAGATGCGCGGGCCGCTTGCCAGAAACCTTGAATTTGCATTCATCGTATGCTCGTGCCTGGAGCGATTGAACTAGTGATCGCGATGCCTGAGGCCAGCGCGTGCTGGCTCATGAACTACGGAATTTCGCAACCGCGCGAAACAGTTATTTGAGGCATCGCGTGATTTGCTTTTGGGGCGACCGTGGGCGAGACCCTAACTGCCCTCTCAAGAGGGCGTGCTAGTGCCCCTTCAAGCTGCATTACTGTTCGTAAGCTCTTCATAACTTAGCTACTCATGCAATTCACGTTGGTAGTTGCCGTCATCTGGCATGGTGCGACGTGCGTGCCTCCGCCGGCCATGTCTCGCAGACTGATTTTTCGCCTGGGATCGTAAGCGATATCATGTGCTGAATAGACTTGCCATCGGCGAGGTGCCGATTATGCACCGATTCCGTGTCACTTGCATTTGCTTCGTTGCCCGAGTCCAGGGTTTATGCATTTGGCTCGGCAGGTTGGGGACAGCCGCGTGCGCTGAGGAACCAGAAGATGGAGTATGACCGTGATTCGCGTGTTCCTTGCCCTTTCCTTCTTCCCCCTCTGCTAAGAAACGCAGCGCTGGAGAACAAACATGTTTGCTACTGGCGAGACTTCAAGCTGCTTGTGGTGCACTTCCATCCCTCTCTCGGAGCCTCAACTTCGGGCGTGCTCCCATAGGCAGGCCACCCTTCTTCAGGAGGGGGAAAGCATACAGACACAACTAATCGCCGATTCTCAGGCAACTTTAGAGAACATCTGGGAAGTAGAGGGGAAGGCGCACACCCAGGATCTAGGGAAAATATTGGGAATCCTGGGAGTTGCGTCTATCTATTTGTGTCCCTGGGCGTCTTCAATTCTGCAGGGCGAGCGCGAGGTTGGGCGATGCCCTCGGCAGGCCTGGCTGCAGCGCGCGTGCCGTGTCCGCCACCTCCGAGGGGGTCCGTCGAGCCTCGGGGTCGTGTCGCAGTCCGAGTGTAGCCCCTGATGCCGTGCGTCACGTTCTTGTATTGCGAAGGCCTCACGGACGGTGCGGCCGACCCTGCTCGCTGGGACGAAGGGGGGGTGGAGGAGGAGGAGAAAGAGGAGGAGGAGGAGGAGGAGGAGAAGGCGGAGGAGGCGGAGGAGGCGGAGGAGGAGGCGGAGGAGGAGCAGGAGCAGGAGCAGGAGCAGGAGCAGGAGGAGGAGCAGGAGGAGGAGGAGGAGGAGGAGGAGGAGGAGGAGGAGGAGGAGGAGGAGGAGGAGGAGGAGAGCAAGGGGAGCGAGCGGCGATTGCGTGCCGCGTCCGCCACCTGTGAGGGGGCTCCCTTGAGCCTCAGTGTCGTGTTGTAGTCCAAGTAGCTCTTGATGCGCGTGCATCACTTTCGTATATTATCTGGGGTACTCTCGCTTGTGGGCGCTCCCCACCCGGAGCGGCGAGAACGCGACGCCTGCCGGCCCGAGGCGTGAGTTGCCGCGAGCCACTCCTCGAGGCAGGCTTTGCTGACCTGCTGGCTTCTGTCCGCCCCCGTGCCGGAGATTTGCACAGCTGCCCCGGCGACCTGCTTGTCCAACGTGCACAGGGAAGGCGAAGAAAAGGAGGAGGAGGAGGAACAGGACACAAGCGGTGGCCGCCGTGCTGGCGGACGAGCTGGCGTGATAGGTGCGCCGGCGGGTCGCGCTGCTCAACACCAAGCTCGCCGTGCTCGGGTAGTTCGGAGCCTGGCAAGCGCACAGACTGGTTGCGGCATACGAAGAGGCAGAGCGATCACACACACACACACACAGCAAGGAGGACAAGTCGTTTTGGCGGATGACCCAACCATTTGCAGTTGCGAGTACCGCGCTTGTAAATATCGCGTTCAGTGGAGGTCCCTACGGGGCCACGAATCGTGAGAGAGGTGTGTGCCGACATGGTATTCGGGGCGCACGCGAGCCTTGCTATTCGTGTTTTCGGTGAGGCTCCTTGTGGGACCACGAAGCGTGCAGCGCGTGTGCCGAAGTCGGCCAGTGGGGGTCTTCGGCGAGCCCCCGTCATGGAGCCACGAAGCATGCGATGGGGTGTGCAGGTGGGCAGGGGCCCGCATGCGCCCCCCTCCCCCCCCCCTCCCTGAGGGTTTCGGAGGGGCTTTCTGCGGGGCCACGAAACTCAGGAGGGAAAGAAACACACAGACACAATGAATCGTCGATTCCCAGAAAATGTGGAGCAATATGGGAAGTGGGGGGAAGACAAAAATCCAGAACATATGGGAAAATATGGGGAATCTGGTTATTTGTGATTATTTATTTGCGTGTCCCAGTCCCCCTTCAGAAGCATGTGAGGGCTGTGTGTGGACGTGGGCGGGGATCCGCGTGCGCAGCCCCAGTCTTGGGGGCCGAGGCGGAGCCCCCCCCCTCCTTGTTGGGCCACGGAGCGTGCGAGAGTGGTCCCGAGCTGGGCAGGAACCGCACGATCCCCCCCCCCCACTTGAGGCCGTCAGTGGAGCTCCCTGCGGGGCCACGACACGTTGGAGGTGTGCCGAAATGGGGAGGGGGCAAGAACAGCATGCGACCCCCCATCCTGTGGGTTTCGGTGGAGCTCCCTGTGGGGCCGCGAAACGCATGAGGTGTGTGCGCGCGCGCGTGTGTGTATGTGTGTGTGTGTGTGCGTCTGTGTGTGGGCGTGTGTGTGTGTGTGTAACTGTGTGTGTGTGTGTGTGTGCGTGTCTGCGTGTCTGCGTGTCTGTGTGTGTGTGTGTGTCTGTGTGTCTGTGTGTCTGCGTGTCTGTGTGTCTGTGTGTCTGTGTGTCTGTGTGTCTGTGTGTCTGTGTGTCTGTGTGTCTGTGTGTCTGTGTGTCTGTGTGCGTGTGTGTATGTTTGCGTGTGTTTGTGTGTATGTGTATGTGTGTCTGTATATGTGCCGAAATGGGCGGGCGACGGCGGGGGACCTCCCTCATGGAGGTTTCGGTGGAGCTTCGCGCGGGGCCACGACACGTTCGAGGGCTGTCAGCATTTGCGGGGGACCGCACGCGAGGGAGTGGCATGCGCAACTCCTTTCCCGTGGGTTGCGGTGGAACTCATTGTGAGGCCACAGGACCTGCACGGGGTGTGCCAGAATTGGCCAAGAAAACCGCATGCGGCTTCGGTGGAGCTGTCTAAGGGGCCACGAAAACGTGTAAGGTATGCGCCAGAATTAACATGCGGACGGCCGAGGCACGGGTGAGGGCTGGGGGGGGCAGCGCGAGGAACGGCAGAAAGAGTTGACGCGGGGCGCCGTCCTTTCAGCACGTAACCCAAGACTACAGGATTGTTGGACAAAGAAGGGACGGAGGGGGCGGCGGCGGCGAAGGTGAGGGAGGGGAGGAGGAGGAGGAGGAGGAGGAGGAGGAGGAGGAGGAGGAGGAGGAGGAGTTCTGTCCTTCCTTTCCCCCCTTCTCAGAGGGGAGGAGGAGGGGGAGGAGGAGGAGGGGGAGGAGGAGGAGGAGGAGGAGGAAGAGGAGGAGGAGGGGGAGGAGTTCTGTCCTTCCTTTCCCCCCTTCTCAGGGTGCAAGGGGACGGAGATACCCCGCCCCTGGGAGGGTCTGCCGTTTCATTGTTATGTTCTCCACTGCAGCGGCTTGCGTTGCCCCAGGGAAATTGCCCCTTGGGCGGGGGGGTCACCACCCACCAAACCACCCCAACCCAACCCGAAGCCCTCAATTTGCCCTCCATTTCCAGTGGGGGGGGGTCGGGAAATATTGAAAAAACACAGATGGAACCCTTACCTCCCCCAACCCGAAATTCGGGTCTTCGGGTTGGGTTGGGGTGGTCTGGTAGGTAGTCAGTATGGCCCGAGCGCCGTTAGTTCACAGCTCCGGAGGAGGAACAGAGAGGAGGGAGGGCGAGGACGAGGAAGAGGCGCGCCCCCCCTCGGGGCGCCGCTGCAGAAGGACCCGTACAGCGACGACCCCCACGACCGCCACCCTGGGCTGATCTTCCACAACAACAAGGCGAGCCCGTGCGACCCGTGCTGGGTTCGTCCACACAAGCATCGAGGGACAGGGAGTGGCACAAGCATGCTTTCTCTGCGCGCCTCTCGGACTTCTGGGGTCGTCGCCGGAGCCCCGTGGTGGCGCCTCTGGCGCCGCTCCCAGCGCTCTCCGCGCGCCCCGGAGGGGTTTCCAGCGCAGATCCGAAAAACCACGCGGATTTCCGGAGACTCGTGTTTACGCAGCTCTTGTTTCCATACAGGGTAGCGGACGGGAAGTACAGTCAAGACGTTGACCCATCGCTCGCAGAAGGCAGGCTTTTTTTTACCCGCCGGTTCAAATGTATTTCAATCGCTTGTCTATTCAGTAATCGAAGGGGTATGCGGAAAAGCCAATCTACGTCCAACGTCTGCGTAGTTACTTCCATGTGTCGACACACCTGGTCCGAACGATGTACAGGGGGTCGATGTTCCCGAGCTCCTGCCGTGGTTGTTTCTCTAGTGTTCATCGCGCACCAGGGCGCCCTGGGGGCCAAAGAGGGGCCTTGTTCCTCGTATGGCCGCACGTTTTGGAGCTCGGGGGGCAGTGCAGGCCCCTCAAGGGACAATTTCCCTCACACCTGGTTGGCCCTCCTGCAAGCGCCCTCCTTCATGGGAGGGGGAAGGAGACGAGGACGTCTACATCGTCGTATTTGAGTTTTGTTTCCGAGTTTCTGTGGTTCTTGCGACCACGGCTGGACGCAGCCCCCCCCTGAAGGAGTCCAGGGAGTACTTTTGAGCAGATTTTGCTTCAGGATCAAGAGGGGGCCCTGCGGCGTAGACGGGATGAAGAAGAGACTCGCGGGCGGCAGTCTTGAATGCTTTTGCAGTGTTCGAGCCTCCAGAGGTTTGCTTCTTTTTCTTGTCTAGTGGAGGAGGGTCGAGAGGGCCGAAGAGTCGATGAAACCAACAGGGACAAAGACTGTACTGACAGCAGTTCCTGTATGGTTGGGACGTGCCATCGGTTCCGTGTCGGGCGCGATCCGTTTGGAGGCGAAGGGGCAGCAGTTGCTCATCTCGAACAACAAGTTGTTATACGACGCGTGGGGGCATGCCCCCCGTCTTTGGTCTCCTCCTCACCTCTTCCCCACATATCAAAATAGAACTCCTCATCCTTCCCTTCTTTTGGATAGCATCAGTAATTTTCAAAACACACCGGGGACTGCTGCAACCTCCCGACTCATCTTGGACGCATTACCAAGTATGCTAAGAACGAACACTTTGTCGCAACCGTCGTCCTCCTCCATCTCGATCAAGTTCGCTCCCGGGTTCTATCTTTGAGTTCCCCCCGCTGTACTGCGATTTCATTTCTGAGCTTCGCGCCGTCCCCGCCGAGATCCCGTTTGCGTGGGCTCTTGGGATCGGCGCTGAGCGAGCGGTGGCTCGTGGCCGAGGGGCCCCTTGCCGCCGTCCGTGGCTGTGTGCGCCTCGCGCGACGCACTCCTTCAGGCTGCGTGCGTCAAGTCGGGCATGTCCTTCTGCAGGAGGAATGTGGAAACATAGTCAACACATTGTATGGGCACGTTCTTATTTGCGTATGCCTGAGCATGTTTATCTCATGGTTTGACCATGTTTTGTCTGCCGTCCAACGATCCGCCTCTAGGAGGGCAGGCCCGACCTAAGGCTGCGCGCTCCTCTTCCATCGCCGATTCCCGCTCGACGTCTCCCTCCCATGAGCTGCCCCACCCCCTACACCCCCACCTAGTTACAGTCGAGCTTGATTCGTAGGTCGGCCCTGTTCAAGCACGGGTACACTTGTGTCCCGTGTTTCGCGACCCCATGCCTTTACAATCCTGTTTGTGGCGATGTGGACCCCAGATGGGTCTCGCGTCCCTTCGCGTGTCCTCTTCATGCAAAATCGACACGATTCATATTTCCATGAGCTGGTCCCCCCTATCGCGCCCAGCTGCCACGGGGGCGGTGTAGCAGGACATGCGAAGGAGGAGTGCGGAGGAGGAGGAGGAGAGGAGGAGGAGGAGGAGGAGGAAAAGGAGGAGGAGAAGGAGCAGGAAGAGAAGGAGGAGGAGGAGGAGAAGAGAGGAGGAGGAGAGGAGAGGAGGAGGAGGAAGGAGGAGAGGGAGGAGGAGGAGGGAGGAGAGGAGGAGTAGGAGGAGGGAGGAGGAGGAGAAGGAGAGGAGGAGGAGCAGGAGGAGGAGGAGGAGGTGCCCCTCATCGTGTCCCCGGGTCCGCCCTCCCCCGCCCCTCCCCGCTCCGAGCCCTGCAACGCGGAGCTGCCCATCGAGCTCATGATGGACGCGCGGCTCCGCCGGACAGATCGGAGCGTCGGGCGCGTGTGGGGAACGTTTTCCTCGATGGTGTAGCCAGGAGGAGGAGGAGGAGGAGGAGAGAGGAGGAGGAGGAGGGAGGAGGAGGAGTGCGGGCCACACGTTTAGCACAGGTTATACATACATATATGTCGGCGGTGCGCCGTGGCACGAACCCCCCCCCCCCCGCACTACCGGGGGGTTTCGTGCACTACCGGGGGGTTTCGTGCAGCCCGCACCGGGTGCCGCCAGCAGCTTAGAACACCCCCCCTTGCCGCTTTACCGGGGGGGGTCGTGCAGGCCGCATTGGGTCCTCCCCTGTCGCTTCACCGGGGGGGTTCGTGCAGGCCGCACTGCGTCTACTTGGGCTCCCCCCCCCTGTGGGAGTGGGGGGGTGGGAGTGGGGGGTGGGTTGGGGGGGGGGCAGGGGGGCGGTTGGGAAGGGTAGCTCCCTGTCGAAGTGTGGCGTGTGCTCGCCTTGTGTTCTCTATTCGCGTCTGCTCGCCTTTTTTCCGCCGCAGCCTCTCGTATTATGACTCGTGGCCACAATACGAGAGGCTGCGGCGCAACTCCCGAGAGCCGCTGTGGGGGGTCGACGGCACGGCCGCGTAGAGAAGAACAGTGCCGCCGTGTTCCGGCACGGCCCTGGGATGCAATGCCGCCGCCGTGTTCCGGCCCGTCCTGGTAAGATTCGCGCGTCGGGGTTGGGGTTCGCGCGTGCCGGGAGCGCGCCGCTTACGGAGGGGTTGCGTCATCACCGGGGGGTTTCGTGCAGCCTACCAGCCCAGAGGCTCGTTTCTGACAATTTTTTGTAAGTTGAGTTTGTTTTGTAAGATCTTGATATTTTTAAAACTTGATAATTGTTTATCATTTGCTAGATAAAAACATAATAAACAATATATAATTCATATTTTATTTGATCTCTGCTATGTTGAGTTTACATATGTTCAAGCTTAGCTCAAGGCTCGTGGCCTCATAGGGAGCTCCACCGAAGGCCCGAGCGGCAGCGTCCGCATGGCGCCACCGCCCCATTTCGGCACACCCCTCACACGCTTGGTGGCCCAATGGGGAGCTCCACCGATCGCCCGACAGCCTTTGGGGGCGGGGTTGGGGCTGGCAGCCGCTGGCCCAAGATGGCGGCGCTGGACGCCTTCACCGTGCAAGGCACGGCCATCCGCGACGCGGCCGCCGTCGAGGCGAACCGCGATGTGGATGTGGCCTTCTGCTTGGGGCAAGCGCAACCGAAACGTCCAAGGAGGGGGCGGCGCGTGCCCAAGAATCGCGGCGATTCTCGGGCACGCGCCGAAAGGAGGAGGAGGAGCAGGAGGAGGAGGAGGAGGAGGAAGGGGGAGGAGAAGAAGGAGGAAGAGAAGGAGGAGGAGGCGAGGAGAAGGAGAAGGAGGAGGAGGAAGGAGGAGGAGGAGGAGGGAAGGAGGAGGGGGAGGAGGAGAAGGAGGAGGGGGAGGAGGAGGAGGAGGAGGAGGAGGAGGAGGAGGAGGAGGAGGAGGAGCCGCCCCCCATTGAGCCAGGTCGACATCGAGAACGGGGTACACTTCATTGCGGAGGCCGCGGCGGCAGCCGGCCTGGCCGCGAGGACGGCCACTTGGGTCCTGGAGGCGTTCCACAGCGCGCTGAGGCCCCCAGGGCCCTTGTCGCCCTTGTCGTTTTTTTGTCGAGTTCCAGCTGCGTCTTGCGCGTGGGCACGGCCAAGCGCAAGGTGCAGCTGGAATTCGACGAAAGCCGCGTCGTTGCCCGCCCTCCCCCCCCCCCCATAGGCTGGCGCAGTCCATCAAGCAGAAAGGCCTGTTGTTCCTGAGGCCGCCGCACGACAAGTGGCGACGGCTCTGCTTGGAGCAAAAAGAAGGGGAGAGAAGGCGATGGGGAGTAGGGAAGATGAAAGGAGGAAGGAGCGGTGGATTGGGTTAGGCAGGTAGACGGGGAAAAGGGGTGAGTGGGTAGGAGGGGGGAGGGAGGGAGGGAGGGAGGGAGGGAGGAGGGAAGCAGACAGAGGGAGAAGAAGGAGGAAGAGTCTCTAACTGCTCAGGGAAGCAGACAGAGGGAGAAGAAGGAGGACAGAGGGAGCAGACAGAAGAAGAGGGAAGCAGACAGAGGGAGGCTCTAACAGGAGGGGGACGGCCTGTTCCCCAGGGGCCCCCGCCAAGGAGGCCGAGAGGAGGGGGGGAGGGAGGAAGGAAGAGCTCAAACGATCGCCGATCCTCCTTCGCGCCATCCCTCTCCCGCATCCCTCCATCCTGCCCTCATCAACCCTCTCCTCATCCATCCTTCCTTCATTTCTCCCTCCATCCCTCCCCCCTCCCTCCTCCCTCCTCTCCCTCTCCCCGTTCTCCGTCAGCCTGCGCTCGAGCGGAGCGCCCCCCCATCAGCCCAGGTTCGAGAACGACTCGCCGTCCGACCCGCAGGCCCGTCCTGCGGAGGGGCCGCGCACGCCGCTCGGAGAGGGAGGATGGAGATGAGGAGAATGAGAATGAGGGGGAGGAGGAGGTGGAGAAGGACGAGAACCAGGAGGAAGGCAACGAGGAAGGAGAGGAGAGTAAGTAGAAGAAGGAGGAAAGGAAAATGAGAAGGAGGAGGAGGATCACGAGGAGGGAGGAGAAGGAGAATGAGGAATTGCAGATGAGGAGGAGGAGAAGGAGGAGGAGGACCTCGACTTCCATGAAATGCCTGAACAAAAAACAACAAAAAAACAATCCAGGAATCAAATGAGAAAAAAAAAAAACAAAAAAAAATCCTGGAAACAAATCTGAACAATTCCTGAAGCTCCCCAGGAACCTCGGCCACTGAAGAAATACGAGGGGACGAAACAAGTACCACGGAATCCTGGTACGTTCCTCCTTCTCCTCCTCCTCCTCCACCTCCTCTCAGGGACTCCTGGTACTTCCCTCCTCCTCCTCCTCCTCCTCCTCCTCCTCTTCCTCCTCCGCCTCCGCATGAGAAGAACAAGTAACAGGGACTCTTGGTACTTTCCTCCTGCTCCTCCTCATGAGACGAAAAAGTACCGTGGACTCCTGGTACTTTCATCCCCCTCCTCCCTCCTCCTCCGCATCCTCATCCCCCCTACCGGTGACCAGGGGCGCTCTCGCAATTCATTAGAGATGGGGCTCCATCGGAAACCCTATTCAAATTCAAGGGCCCGACTTAAGAATTCTAGCTCATCCTTTTCTTCCGTTGCCATATTTTGGCTCAAGCTTGTTTTGTTTTTCTCGTGGTCCCAACCATGAGCTCCGAGGCCCTCGGCTCCAGGAAAAAGCGGGTACCGTACTGGAAGGCCGACGGCGCTGCAGATGGCCTCGGGGCTCTATGTGCAGCATTGCCAAACTTCGTGGAGAAGACGATCAAGAACGGGCTGTATCCCTCGGATGACTTTAAGCGAGGCGTCGTCACAGAATTTCTTGAGGATTGTTCGGAGACGCTTCGCATGCTGATGCAGATTGATGTGCGCGGAGGGTTCTTTAGCCAGGCCGACGTGCAGACTGCCCTGAGGATGCACCTGGCGCGAAAGTCTAGTGATGCTATCTCCGCGAGGAAGATGGCGGTTCGCGCGAACAAGTCGGATTCCGAGTTCGAGAAAAAGTTGGCCTACTCACTGCGCGCAGTCTTGGCGCACGTTCGACTCAAGTTTGATGCTTACCTCGAGCTAGTTGCAAAACATGGCAGGGCTGGCCATGGTCAATCAGATGGAATGCTTCGAATTTTTCAGGTTCTCGAAGACGGCGCGGCGGCCCCAACTTTGTGCGTCGTTCAGCCCCGCAAGCCTTCGATCGACGGCTCCGTCGGCAAGAAGAAGGCCAACCCGTTTCCTTTGCTTCGAGAGTGGACTCCAACCACGGCGGTCCCCAGTCCACCGCTGTCAGCATCGCCATGTTCGGCGTCGTCGAGCAGTCCCGTTTCTTCGCCAGAGCGCGCCGTTGTCGCGGCCCTGCCTGTCGAGACGGTCGTCGAGAGCCCTCCAAGGTCGGCTTGCGTGACGGCGGTGGTGGATAGCATCCCAGAGTGCGCTCCTCTGGCAGATGTGGTTTCACTGGCTGAGACGCCGCCTCGGAAGCCCAGTTCTTCGCCGATGGGCGCGTGGCGCGAGGAGCAGGAGGAGGAGGAGGAGGAGGAGGAGGTGGTGTCGATCGAGGTTCGGTCCAGAACGCTTGTGAAGGTCTTGGGTGAGGGCGCGATGATCCCAGCCAGGAGGCTCGAGAAGGGCAGTGGCGGCTTCGTCGTGGCGCACTGGCTTCGCGGGCCGCCCCTGGAGACCGAGATCGTGAACAGCCGTCTGGGCGTGGGCGGCCTCATCGACCCCGTCAGGCCAGACGGGATCTGATATCCTGAGCTCACCCCCTGCCTCCTCTTTTCTCGCCTCCTCTCCTTCCTCTCCTCCTCTCTACCCAGATCACCTCCTCACCCCCTCCCCCCCTCCACCTTATTCCCGTCAACATTCCCAATCGGTTTTCATTTCGCCGCGTCTCCAGGGATTTTGGACTTCGGGCTCTGGGGCCCAGAAACAGGAAACATCGGGAGCCCCTGTGACGATTTTCAACAGCTTCGAGGTTTCGAAAGTCTGGCGTTTTATGTTGAACCCACGCTGGCCTCAGGCACATGCCTGAGCAGAGGAAGAGCAAGCGCAAGAAAGTGGCATTCGACGAGGACGACGTCGTCGACGACGAGGCTCCTGTTCGCAAGAGGCCAGCCGCTTGCAAGCGGCCAGCTGCTTCCGCGAAGAGGCCCGCGGCTGCAGGCGAGCCCGCCGTCGCGGCCGCGGCCATCCCAGACGGACCTGCAGATGGCCCTGCCCATGATGGGGATGCCGTTGCACCAGGCCCTGCCCATGCTGGGGATGCAGTTGCACCAGCGCCACCGCCGGCCGCTGCCGAGCTTCCAGTATGTCTGAGCCTCATCGTCACCCCTGGCCACCATGGCGCAAGCACGATCGTGATCCGCACCAGCTCAACAGATAAGAAACAGATCCTGGAGATCACGCCGAATG